ACAAAATTAGTCATGCTCGGATGCAAGTTGCACTGTGGGAGTTCAAAAACAAAGCAACTCGTACCAATCCAGCTCGACTTGCCTTTCTTTTTGAACTCCCACTATGTAACATGGATATTGTACCATGTGACCGGGTCATGCAAAGGAATATCATTTGTAACATTTCTTGTCATTTGTCTATGCAACTGTTCAGTACAACACGTCGAGGATCATTTTGTCTCTATCAAAACCTATAGAGTTTTTACTCTTAAAAAAATTATTATTTTTTCTTTTTAAATCAGTACCTTCTGATCTGACTTCTACTCTTAGAGCTTAGCATTCATTTCGCGAGCATTTTTTCCACAATCTATACGAACTTCACAAGTGTCGAAGTCCATCTCATGGACGCAAGTATTATCACAACGTGACTTCTAACTATTTACAATTGATAAAAAATACGTTTTCGTCTTAATGTTGTCTAGTTCACAAAGAATAAGACTGATTCATTTTGTATAACTCACAACACTTCTGAAAGAAGCGACAAGTAGTCATACAATGAGCCATACGACCATGGGGCCGATAGTCTAGCTATCAAATGAACAAGATGCCTATTCCTGACTCTCGTCTGTTTCGTATATTAGTGTGAAAATGATTTGCTCTCGTTTCGACCACTGCAAAGTGATTAGAGAACAAGTGGTAGACATTAAATGACCAATGCGTTACACAAATGTTTTTAAGACTTAATAATCGATAAACGCCCAGAAGCCAGTTCCGTGGTTTCTTCCTTCACAGAAGGCTCTCGTTATTTCTAACGTCAGCCATCTCAAACTGAAGAGGGCGATTTTGGTAGGTTATACTAGATGATGCCAACTCGGTTGGGTATTGTGTGATACTAAAATTGGAACAAATCCTTAACAAAAAGGGCTAATATTGATCCGTAAAAGTATAAACGCTGTAAAGTGCTAGAAAACACAGTGACGAAAAAAAGGAAAACAATTTGTTAACTTGGATTATCTAAATGTAAATTCTCTTTGCTCGCGCCATCATTACGTCAACAGCTCGTGCTAGTTCTGTGTTTCTATCGAGTTATAGAAACACAATTTTAAGCCAATCAGCGCGCGTATTTTCTTAGGGCTGCTTTCTAAACTATTGTAAAGAACTTTGATCTTTTTGCTCGAAATTTCCTAATGCTCTTATGATCGATACATCATATTTTCGCCCTCGTCAAAAGAAAACATATTGGCCTTCGTCAAAAGATCATATTGTCGCTCTCGTCAAAATACTATGCCTTTTGTACCTCGAATTAAAATCTTTGACCCCATGTCAAGTGCCCAAACAGTTCTTGAAATGGAGACTTGCCCAAATATCTCGGAATAATGGTTGATTCAGACCTATCACGGAAGAATCAAATCGACTTCATCTGCCATAAAATTAGTAAATCAATTGAAATTATTGCTAACTAAGACATTATATTCCATGTCGTCTCTAGTTAACTATTCATCATACTCTAATAACTACCTATTTAAACTATATGGTATATGTGCATGGGGTTACTGCTAACAAAAACATTTAAAACGGTCGCAAAAACGTGCATTGCGCTTACTTTTCTTTTGGAACACCAGAGAGCATGTAATTCTCTTTTAATATTTCCTACAGCCAATTGCCTTCCAATGTCATTCTTATCTTTCCAACATTTGCGCTACCTGAGGTATGATATTTATCGTCACCAAGCCCCAATAAACCTGAATCAATTTCTTAAAACCAGTACAATACATAACTTAATCATAAAAATTACAATTTCCTCGATTGTGATTGGTTTAAAAAACTCCTATTTTCCACTAATTCACTTGCTACGTTGTTATCGGAGAGTTCCATAAGGCAATCACATTCAAAGTTGCAGTTTAAATCAACCAATCACATTCAACGTCGTAGCTTAATTCAACCAATCACAACCTTGGGCATATTTAAACAATTTGCGCCTCCTTTGTCAGTCTTTAAACGCAAAAACAGAGAAGATGCGAAAATCCTTTAAAAGAATTGGGTCAGTCTGGAATTCCATCCCACATTCAGTGAAATTATTAATCAAATCTAAATTCCGAAATAAAACGAAGGAACTACTCCTTGATGTGTTACAATGTGAAGATGACTGTATTGAAGTCTCTCATCTGATACAGAAGCTCTCTAAATTAACATATTTAAGTAATAATAGTACTCTAGTCGCTTACGTATGTGCACATTACACTGTCACTTTGTTTTCGGTTACTTGTATTTGTTTCTATTGTTTATTTGTACCTTTTGTAATTTTGCTGTAAATTATCATTACTTTTCACTATTTTTTTTTCTTTCCATTTTAACATAAATTCTTGCCCCCGCCTCGATTAGTTCTGTGACTAGTTGCGGGGCAAGCAATTCCTGTAACTCTATATAAAAAGTAGACAAAGTAAAGTTCAAGTTCAAATATGATAGCCCTCAGCGTGCATTCCCCGGCAACAACCTCCATTGCAAACTAGTGTAGTTTCAGTCTAATCCCAAGAATACGACTCAGCCTATTCTCTTCAGCCATCATGATGGTTTTCACGTTACAGCGGTTCTCAGTTGAGTGTTGTTAAACCAAAACCAAAGCAGTGACAGTCGCCAATCACAACAAACGTTAACACTGAACGCAATGAACCAAAGAGAACCCGAAGAAAATGCATTTAACTGTCGCGGGAAAACACGAACGACTAAGTCGTACAACTTGGTTTTGTTTTTGCATCTGATTGGTTGAGCAGGCCGCGTGAGTTTTTAAACCAATCACAGAGTAGGATGATTAACAGCCAATGCTCACCGCCCGAGGGTGGAGCGCGACCGGACCCTAGAGAGCGGCGAAAATCAGGCCTAATCACAGAGTGCTCCAAAAAAAAAAAAAAACCACTCTAACAAGGACATTTTAAATAATTTGTGCGGGAAGAAACAACTGCTTAACAGTTTCAATATGTTGCTTTTATATGCTAACAATTTTTTGGTAATCCGCGTAGCTATTGAAGAAACATTTCGTCCCGCAAAAAAACATTACAAACATGTCTAATTACCTGTAATTATTTTTGACATTTCCTACATTTTTCTATAAAACTGTTAAGTACGGCACGTTTAGAATGATTTTGTCTTTTTCAAGACCCATGGGGTTTTACTCCTTAACTATTTTCTATTCAAATCAGTACCAAGTCTGACATCTACTCTTCAAGCTTAGCATTCACTTCGTTTTTCCTGGAATCTCTTGCACCTTCACAAGTATAAAAGTCCATCACACGGACACAAGTATTTGTAACTACTTCTATTAAACTATTTACAATTCATAAAAAATAGTTTTTTTAAAAAGTCTTTACTCTGTCAAGAATAAGACAGGATTCAACTTGAAAAACTCACAACGTTTCTCAAGAAAGTGACAAGTAGTCACGCAATGACCATACGTGACACAAATATTAATAAAACCAAGGGAAGACGAAGGGTAAGAGTGTTTTATCGTCCATTTTCACCTTATTACCAAGGCAACCCCTCTTAAGTTATTTTTAGACATGGTACCCAGTTCTTCCGCGGAAAATATCACCAAACGTGCTGCGTGGACGTGTTCGTGGAGGATGAAAATGTGTAAAGCTGCTTGGCTCTGCACGTGCAGAGCAAAATCTGGGTCAAAAGGATGGCTCTGTCAAGACCCTCCGGGGATTTCCGAAACCGGGAGTGATCTAAAAATAACTGGTAAAGGATTAGTTTGGGAATAAGGCCTACACGGAGCATTAACTGTACACTTCATCCTCTTTTGATAATAAAACGTAATAATCAATGACATTAATACTAGGAAGTTCAGTGGTTTCTTTATCAACAGTAGGCTCTCGCTATTTCTAGCATACGACTATCTCGAATTCGCCGTTATTTTAAACCAAGTCTCACTTTCCCTAACTATTCTTATTACCTTCTGAGTGATTAACCATGGAACTCGGCCATCTTGAATCCCGTACTGTCTTGAGCAACGCGTGACTTCTTTTGTCCTATGCAACTGCAGTAGTTACAGTCTGTTTCCACTTAGAGTTGAAGATAACGAGAGTCTGCGGGACGTTAAAGGACCCCGGCCAGCCTCTGCCATTTTCGATGTCATCGAAATTATTGATATTGCATGGTGAAGCGAGATTTTATTGCTTCACTGTAAGTTGTGTTCCTGAAAGTATGTTTAATTATCTTCAGTAGTTCCTTCGTTTCAACATGCTCCGAATAAAATATAATAGCCAAACTCTCGCAAGTAAACAAAAATAAAGGTGTGGATGACCAGGGCCCTTTAAGCAATTGAGAGCTGCCGTGCATCCACAGTTACTGAGTTAAAAGATGAGAATCCAAACTACCCGTGTTGTTTACGGCAACACGACTGGGGTATACCTGCCACAATCAATGTTGAGAATCTTTAGAGACAACCAGCACCTCTGACACCTTCCAGGCACATTACCACTGACCCTCTCCACTTAGCCGAGACTGCTTACATCTCTTACACGTACACGAATTTAAGAGATTTGAAATACATCCATCTAATCATGAAAAAAAAACAAAAAAAAAAAAAAAAAAGAAAAAGA